ACCCTCTCAACTAATGAGAACATTACGATCGAATTCACAAACCTAGACGTGGTCTCGTGATAATTAAGGCAAGCATTTTAAAATACAAAAAAGTACGTTTCAGAAAAATTTCAACCGAATGCATCGAAGAAACATGATTTGGAACATCTTGTAACCAACCAGACATCGTTTTCACTCTCAGACCGAAAATTACACAAAAATGATGAATTTCTGCTTCATAAACTACAAAGCATCACTCCTGAGATATTCTGTAAAGATACTGTTAAAAATACGATCATTACAATTTCACAGAAATTCTAAAGAACAACTACAGTTCAAAATATGCAAAACAGTTTTTCGTAAAACAGAAAGAAACGAAAGTACGTTCAACTTGTGAAAATTAATGAAGGCTATCATGTCAGAAACTTTACAAGTGAAAAGAATATCCCAAGCATACGATCTGCTTCTCTCTGTTACTCAGAATTACAACTTTCAAAATCACCCGCGATGAGGCTCTGCGACAATTTACCGTATCTATAAATATCTGTATTTGTGCTAAGTATGCTGTATTTTCCCACTGCTTTCACATTAATGAAATTTACATCAGTTACCTTAGGGTCTTCTTAATGTGCACCTCAAGTGATAGTTTTACGGTAAAGCAGGATAAGGATATATTTTTTGTTTGCGGAACGGATAACGAAAACTTGCCTAAAATTAATCTAATAAACAAATGACGCCAAAATAAGAAACAATCAAGATATAAAACTGCCACTGTCTGATTATTCAACTGCAATCTCACCCTAGCAAGAAAGTCAGGCCAACTTGCAAGAGTAAGGTGTCATTAAATGGAATCAGCAATTGAAAGTACAATTATGATCAGCCACATTTTAAGCGTTACATCTTGCTAGAGATGTAGCGTTAAAACTATCATCATTTTCTGACCAAATTTTTTATCCACCGAACAATTTTGTGGTTAGGCAGCGTATTTATTTGGTGTCGTATGCGCTCACTATTTCTATTGTTTTCTTGAATACTTGTGTCAGTTTTCTTGATTCAGACATTTCAAGGTGCATTATCGATTAGCAGATCTCGTTACCCATCACATCCGACTGATCAGGACCATTGTATATTCTGCAGCTACCCACAGTGTATGTAAGAATTTTTCCACTACCTGATATCGATAGGTATTGACTTCTCTTCATTGTGTTTCGCTCCATAAAATGTCTCATTCAATAATTTCATATAGGAAATTTTCTTTGTTCGCGTGATCATATCATTCATTCACTGTCCACTATTTGCCCGTGGAAGCTATCCAGAGCGTTTGGATTATATTTTGTGCTTTCTTGCATGCATGAATATCAACTTACTTCTTACAAAACAGGTAAAACAAATTCCATGAGCCAACAAACCTTGATTGATTAAACACTCGACTGCCGCTGCCGGTCATTTGCTCAGACAAGAAGAAATCGGGGTTGGAAATTTTACTTATTGGTAAGTCACCACCAATACAACTACATGAAGCTGCCATCATCGATCATTGCCCGGCTTACGAAGGGCTTTGCATGATGATGGGGTGACTGAAAAATCGACACCTCCTCAACGCCTTCTGGCAGCCGGGGCATAGCAGTCGAAAACGGCTGCCGAAGAACAACGAAATGATGATGAGGGTACCAATCAGCAACAGAGTCACTACTCTCTCTGAACGGCGGAACCAGACAGCATCATACCATGATACCATGCTACAAAATGCTTCACAGAAATGACACCGCCGGTAGTCGCGTACAGTCAGAAATTTAAATATATCGTCACTCAGAGGAAGAGACTAGGAACTAGTTGAAGAGGCAGCAAGGAACCAACCGGACATAATTGGACTATTCTCAATGAAGAACCAAAGCTTTAGAATTCTGAACCTCTCCAGGTGCAAGCTATTCTGATCAGGTGTCAACATCACGACGAACACTAAGACCGGCACTGGTGTTCTTCAAAAACCCAGGCTGGCTGACAGGATTCCTGAATAGAAGTCTGTTGGCAGAAGAGTGACAATTCTCTCATTGAAGCAGCAACAGGCTAAAGCTTTGATTACGTTACAGGTCCATACGTTCAATTCGGAGAGAATCAGAGTCCTTTTTTGAGGAAGTGAAGTGTGCTCTCTACGTGCCAATTGCGGAGTTCCTCATTATAATGGTCGATTTCAACGCACATGTTGAAGCAGTATCTGTGAAGTGGAATAACGCGATCAGAAACAACGTTCCTACAACAATCAACATCAGAAACATCAGAAACAAGGATCAGAAACAACTAGTTACCTCTACAATAACCGCAAGAAGTTCTTGCGGAATTGTGCAAACAACGAATATTCTCTTATGAACAATTTATTCGAGCATCGAAGGGTGTATCAGTATACCTAGTACAGGTGAACTTGTGCACAAAAGTGGACTTGTCATCTGACATACGATGCTCTATAATCGATGTTTGGGCTAAGAGAGGCGCAGAGCTTTCAGCCCGTCACCATCTTGTTGTTAGCATGCTATAATGTAGGAGATGGAGTACCACGCGACGATCTGGTGAGATAACCAATCAGAGAATTAAATGGCACATACTCTCTTCCGCCAATACGACAGCGAAACTGACAAACAATATTGCACGACGGTTTGCACAGATGCCGGTGATGACCAATGACGTGGAAACCGAGTGGGAGCTCTTTAAAAACGGCCTACTCGAGGCTGCCAATGAATGTTGCGTATTCAAAAGGGTTGACCTCCCGCTTAGAGGTCAGAGAAGAACCTCCCGGTAGACAGAAGAGGTATAATTGACAGTTAATGAGAATAGGGCTGCAGTCAAGAAATGTGTAGAAGCGCGTAAGACGGCAGGGAAAGCGGCGGCGAAGGCCACAGCTGATTTCTGAGAGAAGTTCTGTAAGGTTTTGGAGTGGAATTTCGAAACAGGATACAAGATATTCTGGCAGATCATCTCCAAGCTCCGAAGGGAAAAGAAGGAGCAGTCTAAGTTTCTTGAACCACTAGTTTTGGACGCCCTCTTCCCTTTCGGCGATGGTGAGAGTACCTTGAGAAACTCGTTTGTCATGATCAACCGCAGGAACACATGCCTGTAGCACAGGGAAGAATGGGTAATAATGTTTCTGTAGATGAAATCCCACAAGCAGTGTAAAAGTTGAGGAGTGGAAGGGCTGCTAGAATTGGCGAAATCCGTCCTGAAAGGCTCAAAGCATGAAGCGAATGTGGCATGTGCAGGCTTACACTTGTTTATCAAACCGCAGTGGCTACTAGGAAGACACAAACGAACTGGAAAACCGGGGTTGTTGAACCCCTGTTCAAGAAGGGAGACCACAGATTGTGCTCCAGTTACGCAAAGAGGCTGGAAAGGAGTTGCCTCGGTAAAAGTGACTCAAAGACACAAGAAGTGCAGTGTGGCCTCCGGCCCAGCCAAAGCACATTTGACCAGATATTCGCTCTAAGGAGGTTATTAAGAAACTGTGGGAGTTTACCCGTCGGGCGCATTTGTGCTTTGTTAACCTAGAGAAAGTCTATGACCGGATTCTATGCAATAGTGTGTGGGTATGCCCGTGAACGTATGGGATCGATGGCCAGTTGATACGAGCCATCCAATCACTATATGCTGACAGCAGGTGCTGCGTCAGAGTAAATGATATTAGGTCGAAGCCTTGAGCATTGGCACTGGTATCCGCCAAGGCTGCGTCCTCTCCTCTTTCCTATTTGTGCTGTACATGAATAAAATAGCCAGGAGCAGTCAAGGCGATGAGTCGGTGTAAGAGACGTGGGGACTAGAAGGTTGCTGTTTGCAAACGACCTTGTTTTATTGGCATCTTCTGAAACTGATCTACAGTGCTCCGTGGAAAGATTCGTAATCTTAGGCATACGTGTAAACGCGTCTAAAATAAATAGCCTAGTGGTTTCTCGTTCTCCTGTCCGTTCCTCTCTTAGAATTAACGGAGAAACCGCGGAGCAGAAGGAGAGTTTGAAGTACCTGTGGCTCTTGATTACGGCTGTTGAAAAATTTGACGGAAAGAGGGACTGGCAGATTGGAGTAGTAGCTAGTGGCATTCTGTCTAAACCGGCCCGCAGGTTTTGACTGAAGCAGAGCTTTGTGACGACTAAGCTCTCGGGTGTTCCAGTCCGCATGCCTACCGACTGCCATGAGTGCAAATCTTCGATCCCACGTACAAGCCTCGGAAATAAGTTTTCTCAGACGAATAGATTGCTTTACCTGTCTCGATATGGTCCGGAGTACAGAAATCCAATAGAGATTTAGTGTGCAGCTGCGACTTCTGTAGAATGACAAATGAGCGCTGCGATTATTAGGGCACATGTTGCAAATGCCTCCGAAAATGAAGGCGAAGGCAATTACTATTTGCACGACCCATAAGGCCCAGTGGACAGCCAAGATTAACCGGGTGCAAATATATGGAAGGTGTCTGTTCCAAACTCCAGCTGGAAGTCCGAAGCTCAGACTCTGGCATAGGACCGGGAACGTTAGAAGCTCTGTCTGACGAGTCTGGGTGCGCGACTCAAAAGGAGAAGCAAGCATGGAGAATAAAAATTGATCGCATTCCATTCAAAAAATAGTGTTTTGATATGGTTTTCTTTAAATCTGGTGGCACTTTTTTTCATATCTGCAAAACCAAGGCATTTTATTTAGAGTCATTCCTGAATTGCTCAAACTACTAATTTCTACCAGCATCGCGGCATTTATTGCAGAATTTTGAACTTCACGAAAAAATCGGTACAAAGGCATGCGTTCTGGCATTTGCCTGAATTTAATTTTCCAAAATGAGAGAATAATTGTCTTAGCCAGAGTATTGTGCTGAATTAATCGTATAGATTATGACTTATCGTGGATTATGGACGAAGCTCGATGCATGAAAACAAAATGTGAAATTCTTGCTACATTACAGAAAAATATATTTTACTACAATACTTGTTTCAGTTATATATTATACAAATGTATCACAAAAATTCTTCGTCAGAGTTTATAATCTACGTTCAGAAGACTTCCTCGGTGTGCTCCTTAGACACTTCGCCTTCGTCGTTATCAAATAGAGGAGCGGTTTTTTCTTCTTGTATGATCCTGTCATAACCGAACGTTTTCAGAAACGTTATGCATCTCTGCAGCATGTAATCATCCAGCGAAGAAGTATGCGTGACCCGAATTTGAACCTTTTTCACGGAATGCTGTCCAAAGTGAACCGAATTCGCTTCTGACAATCCCTGTACCGCTTGAACGAACCCCTCCTGAAGCTCTTCGTCCAACACCTCGATCATGTCTCTCCGCTGCATCAGCAAAGATGCCAAGTATCGCAGCTGAATGCACGGATTCGTTTCTTCAGGTGTAAAGAATGAGCTATCAAGAGCAGGAAGTTGTTCAACCGCTTGACGTATAATCCCTAAACTGAAAATTCTTCTCCATTCCTTTCAACAGTAAAAACTTACGTAATTGTTCATCTCCGATAGGAGCAGTTAGGCTTCCACGAAAGCAGATAGTTGCTAACACTGTCCAAACGATGCTGATCATCTTCAAAGAATTTGCAAAGGGCGAACTGACGTGAAGCTCTAAATCAACGTACGTGCAAATCCTTATGCACAGTTCGAAAACTTGCCACATTAAGACTTACCTGAAATACAGCAGAAGGATTTGAGAACTATGATTCGACTGATCAAGCTTACTTGAGCGACAGCTTACAAATCAAATATTCGAACTGCCCAACAGATTCGCTGTTCGGCTTAAATAGAGAGATCACGGAATGTTTACACTTCATGCAGACTGATAGGTCAGCAACAAGCTTTGTTAGTCGTTCTATATATATATCGTATTACGACAGAGGCCAACGTTCGTCAGTTGGAGTGTTCGTTAGAGATTACGTCAGTAGGGAGTTTTCAGTGGTTAAACCGAGGTCAGCTAACCAACGAGGTAAAGTAAACTATGCATCTGACGTAATCAAAATCGATCCGGAACAACAGGCCTTATTATGAAAAGCTAATTATGGAATCGACCTTGTGACCTCGCAATTTTATGTTTATACGAGATGTCTTGAAGCGGCATCATATTGTTGATGAAATATAAGATTGAGGCAAGTTAAATATGAAGAGATTTCCATTCTGAGCCATAAATGGAAGTATGGATAACTTGGACAGCATGCCTCAGGGCATCAACCAATTCAGATATCAGTAATGAACATGCTGTTTGCTAAAATAGGCACGTGCATACCTGATGGAGGTTGCAGTTCATGTCATTCGCCTTTATCAACCGTATCACATGTTGTTTTTCAAATGGACCTTTCAACATATACAAAAATCGTTCGGGAGTAGGTATTTTGCGAAGCAGTGGAGAATGCTTAAAACACTGCTGATTTGCTTAACTCGCTGCGACCATCGTAAGCGTTAGTACTACTGCCCATGGCGAAGAACTTAAATAACGATGACATGTACCATCTTTCATGACCCGAGGGTACCTTCTCAATGTCACCAAAACAACTTGAAACAGATATCCAAAGGCTGAACGACGTCAGCATCAAAGCAATACAAAACGAACCTGAAGATGACTGAGATCGTGTTTAACAAACACGTGACCCCACTAGTGACTGAATCGGATCGGAATTAGACCTCGGTTTGATGGATTACAAAACTCTCTAATCAGATGAGCGACGCTGTGAAATAAATAGAAGAGTAAAAATAGCAAATAGCATAAGTTCTTTCGCAGGACTCCAAATGTTATCGTCAAAACTGCCCTTTTGCTTGAAACGAATAGCTCTCGATCAGTGTCTGCTCCCAGTGCTTACTAGCTGATGCTAAATATGAACTCTAAGCCAAAACCATTTCACAAAGTGCTGACCGTGCAACGCAGCATGGAATGA